CCCCCCCCCCAGGTAAAACAATGAAAGAGAATTGAAAAACGCACGAAAAACATTTTGAAACGTGACCAACAGCACCAGCAGAAGACACCTTAATCAACGTGTTTGGATAATGTACAATAAAGTTTGACAACTGTTTTTGAGCGTGTTTATCCATGCAATTCTGGAGATTATATAGTCTGGAGCAAGCACTATCTGCAATTGGTTTTGTGATACCATTTGGTCAATTTTACTCGACAATGATTAATCCGCGGTGAAAGCAAATCATAATTTTCTTTTAGCAGATACATCTGCGCAATTTAATCCTAAAAATTCCTTTTTTGACATCTTATCAAGAGGCGTATACACACTAAAATGCAATTATAGGTACACGCATTCATTATACGTCTCAAAGAGCTAAAGGATTAAGAAACTAGACTTTGCTTGGAGACGAAACCATTTACAAAATCATGTCTGCAAATATTTAGCCTGCATGGCTAAGTTTGGTTTTTGGTCTCTAATAAAGCGACGGTTGACACAATAATTATTGAAATTTTTCGTACTTAAATTTCTTATATTTCTTTAAATTTAACGCCAACATGTTCTGTTCCAACTGTATATTATGATTGCGAATTGTAGCCTATGAAACTCAATGCCTAAAGTAAATACATCTTATTTTTAAAAACGGTTATAATAATATAGTTAAGTGTTACAGTTATACAGAGACAATTTTATATGGTGTTATCATCTCTTCTCATACAGCCAATTACGAGAAAAATCCGTCCACGGCCCATATAGGATTGGATCGATCAATTCTCAAACACATGCACATAACTATATTCCCCTGTTCCATACTGTATAGTTACAATATGATATAAACACAAGAAAGGCTTTGAAAATAATTTATCGGACAGGGTGTCCCAAAAATGCCACCTGAAGAATGGAGGTAACGAGAATCTGCATGTGGAGCGCCTGCTCTAATTTATTATATACGAGTATGCAAAAATGAGCGCAATAATCAAGAAAGACCAAAGAGAAAATAAATATGCTTTTGAGACTGTCACCATGCACGCAAAGGTTTATGTAGCTTGTGTCAGTTTAATATGTATATTTAGGATTATGGAATCTCATAATGGATCGAGCGGATGCCTACTAAAAATCTGTAACATATATCAACAGTTGTTTACGTGCATTCTGGAGATTAGTTTGGAGCATGCACGCACTAGCTGCATGCAATTGTTTTTGTGATATCATTTTGGTCAATTTTACTCGACTCTGATTAATTGGTAAAAGCAAATCAGAATATTCTTTCAGTTTAATCCTATAAAAATTAATTTAATTTAATCCTAAAAATTCCTTTTTGACATGTTAATTATCAAGAGGTGTATACAAACTAAAACTGAATACAATAGGTACACGCATTCATTACGTCTCAAGGAGCTAAAGGATTAAGAAACTAGACCTTGTTTGGAGACGAAATTTACAAAATCATGTCTGCAAATATTTAGTCAACATGTCATGTTCTCTTTCTTACTGTATATTATGATTGTGAATTGTATGACACACGATGTGAAAAGTAAATGCATCTTATTTTTAAAAATTTTGCCACAGTTATATAGTTAAGTGTTACAGTTACACAGACACAATTTTATATGGTGTTATCATCTCTTCTCATACAGTCAATTACGAGCGAAAACTGTCCATGGTCCATATGCGATTGGATCGATCAATTTTCAAACATACATAACTATTCCTCTGCAACAAACATACATGTTCCATAGTTACAATATGATATAGCAGACAAAAAAGATTTTGAAATTAATTTATCGGACAGTGTGTCCCAAAAATACCACCTGAGGACATGGAGATAACGAGAATCTGTGGAGCGCCTGTGCAAATATGAGCATGCAAAAATGAGCACAAAATCAAGAAAGACAAAAGAGAAAATAAATATGCTTTTGAAACTGTCACCACGCAAAGGTTTAGAAAGGCGAAGCAAGCAAGCCGCAGATTGGAGGCGATTCAAATGAACATATACCTTGTAAAAAATATTTCTATATCATATATCAACCATGCGATATTTCATTAATTGTTGCGTGCACTGTATACAGAAGCAAACATAGCCTACTTTTTAAAAAAGTGGGCTACCTTCGTCACATGCAGCTGCAGTGCCTGTGATGGCTTTCCTCAAAGTGAACCAATTTAACAATGCAATCAAAATATCCACAGAGCGGTTGCTTAATTGAAAGGCGCACGAAAAACATTTCGAAACGTGACCAATAACCTCATCAGAAGACATGCACCTTAATTAATCAACTTGTTTGGTTAATGTACAATGAAGTTTGACAACTGTTGTTAAGTGTGTTTACCCACTAGCTGCAATTGTTTTCGTGATACCATTTTGGTCAATTTTAATCCTAAAAATTCCTTTTTTGACATCTTATCATGAAGAGGCGTATACACAATAAAATGCAATTATAGGTACATGCACGCATTCATATATTACCTCTCAAAGAGCTAAGGGATTAAGAAACTAGACTTTGCTTGGAAACTAAACTATTTACAAAATCATGTCTGCAAATATTTAGTCTGCATGGCTAAGTTTGGTTTTTGGTTTCTGATAAAGTAACTGGTGACTTCGTACTTAAATTTCTTATATATTTCTCTAAATTTAACGCCAACATGTCATGTTCTCTTTCATACTGTATACTCCTATTTTATTAACTGTGCTGTATATTATGATTGTGAATTGTATGACACCCGCTGTTCCCACCGTGGTCAGGCATATTTTTCAAGCTTGCCCGGTGTGCATACACTCATAGTAACATCACAAGACTCCATATTCACCAGAGTACACCACACCAACACAGAAAAATCGCAACACAATGGTTATTGAAATTTGTTATACCTAAATTCAGAGGCCTCTGAAGCACCTCGAAAGTGGGAGGGGGAGGGGCACTAACCAGAAAGGGCACTTAAGTCAGGAAACATTCTAAATATGTTAGATGTGTCATTGCCTCGGATGTTATACGTATTCTTAATTTAATAGCTCTGCGTCCTAAAATGAACATGAACACATTAACCACAAATATAAAGAGAACACTTCGATCAATTTTCAAACATACATAACTATTCCTCTGCAACAAACATACATGTTCCATAGTTACAATATGATACAATAGAGAAAAAAAATGGAAAATAATTTATCGGACAGGGTGTCCCAAAAATAATGCCACCTGAGGACATAGAGGTAACGAGAATATGTGGAGATCCTGTGCAAATATGAGCATGCAAAAATGAGCGCAATAACCAAGAAAGACCAAAGAGAAAATAAATATGCTGTGGAGATTGTCACCACGCAAAGGTTTATGCAGCTTATGTAGTTTAATGTATATAGTTAGAGGATCATGGAATCTCATGCATAGTCGATCGGGCGGATGCCTACTAAAACTCTGTAACTTATATCAATGCTTATATATATGTATAAGACTAATAATACCACAAAACATAGTGTTTTGGACATCCTATATGTAGAGCCCAGCATGCATGCAGTATTTTCTGGAAACGCGAAGCAAGCAAGCTGAAGGGGTTGCAAACGAGCATATAGCCTTATAAGAAATATTTCTGTATTTCTGTATATATGAACCATGCGCGACCTTTCATTAATTGTTGAGTGCACTACAGGAGCAAACATACTTTTTAAAAAGGTTGGCTACCTTCGTCACAGCTACTGTGCCTGGCTTTCCTCAAAGTGAAGCAGCAATGCAATCAAAATATCCACAGAGCGGTTGCTTAATTCAACACACCTCCACAGGCAAAACAATGAAAGAGAATTGAAAGACAAACGTGAAACGTTTGAGACGTGACCAATAGCCTCACCAGGAGACACCGTTTTAATCAACGTGTTTGGATAATGTACAATGAAGTTTGACAACTGTTGTTAAGTGTGTTTACCCAATTTTACTCGATTCTGATTGGTTAAACCATATCAGACTTTTCTGGCAAAGATCCCTTTTTTGACAAGTTGTCAAGGGCGTGCATGATAAAAGCGTATAAAAGTGAGCGCATTAGGCATACTCATTCATTACATCGCAAGAAGCTGCAGAAAGAAGACAGAACTTGTTTGGAGAGGAAATTTTCAATGATGTTTGCGAAGATTCTGTTGAAGATCCTGATGGTTTCAGCATGGCTGAGCTTGGCTTTTGGTACATCGCAAGGCAACGAGGTAGTTGATAATACAACGATGTCCCAAAAAATGCCACCTCACTTTCAGTGGTGGTATTTCTAATTTGTGGATTAAATCTTATTCTAGATTAAGCAATCGCAGGAACAAATCCAAAGTCAATGGAATATGATTAAAAGGCGGGAAGTACAAAACCAAGGTAATAAAACGAGAAGATTGATAAGCGTACATTGTTAAGGTTAATATAGAAAATAAGGCTATATCACAATTGTTTAAACCGTAGCGAAGAGGTTGCGACTTAATTTAAAGTATTAAATCTTCTACGCGCATGCTTTGTGCCGGGTTGTTGGTTGAAATTCGTGTCAAGCATGAAGGAAAATACAACTAATGCTGCCATTAATTCTAATACAGAAAAATGCTTCAGGAAAAGTTCTCCAAAGTTTCGCCAAACTCTAACACCTGAACCGCGTAACGTCCAAATTTCTAGCATGGATCTGTATATACATGCAGCTGAGCTAATCACAAGTCATTGATAAATTCGAGCATCAAACAGGGCCTTTTTTAACTAAAAAACTCCAAAGCCCTCCCCCCAGCCCCATGATCCCCCACTCAACCTTTTGGCCCCCCAACCTTTTGCTCCATTTTGCCCCACACACCGTCAAATTCCCTTTTCTCTAAAATATAAGCTAAACATTGGACGAAAAATGGTGTTTAGCAGGGAGGTTTTATATTCTTATGTCAATCGTATGTCCTGTCTTGTATCGTCAATGATTCAATGTCTTTTTAAAATGCTAAACACTGTGTTGTAAATACCTTAGTGGATAGCATATCCCAGACCCTATAGATTTGAGTTGTTAGAAGGCTAGGCTAAACAAGTTGGTGACCGAGTTGTGGTATTTACATAAACACACCATGCAAGCACTTAACTGAAAATTCAGTCTATCAACAGTATAATGTAACGCTGTATATCCAAAAAATCTGTTTCAGAAAACGCACGAAATGCAGTCCTATAGGGGTGGAAAAATACAAATACTTTCTGGGGGAGAAACCCCCAGACCCCCTACTATTACATACCACACCACACAGAACAATTTGTCACCAACAACCATCCGTGATCTCTCCACACTCAGTATTGTATGGACCCTTTTTGTAGATGCCCTCCCCCCCGGGCGAACTCTTAAACAAAGCACTGGCATCAAGCAGCGTTGCTAGCCTATAATGTGTACTTGTTGTTGTAGTTTCTAATCGCGATTTAACTAAGAATGTATATATTGTTACACTTTGTTTTATATTTGTTTGTCTTTTATTTCTTCCTGTATAAAATATATTGTAAATTAACTTTCTTGAACCGTCTGTGCCAGTGTAGCATACTATGGAATTTGCGATTACATTACTATAATCTTACATTATAATCCTACTATAATCCGATTATTATATAATCCTACTATAATCCATAGTGTATCCATGCTAATCCCATACTATATCCATAGTATGGAAAAAACTTTTTCGATAATTACGTCATGAATACGTTATTCGTAGCCCGAGAGCCTCATCCAGGGCACAGAATAGGAAGTTATACCAGAAGCGTAACTCTAGTCGTTTCCCTTATTGTTTGACGTCCACGAAAATTTTTAACTCGCTCACGTCAGGCCACGCCATCCTGGCTAGTACAGCCGGAAGTTTTTATCAGGATTTGGTAGGTACAAAGTGCCGGTTGTACTAGCCAGGATGGCGTGATCGATGACGAATCGCTTGTAAAAACGCGGACAAATATTTGCTCGAGTTACGCTTCTGGTATAACTTCCTATTCTGTGTCCAGGGTTCGTACAAGTCAGGAAGAGTAAAATTCAAGGACTCTTCAAGGGCTTTCAATGCCATATCAGGAAATTCAAGGACTAAAGGGCTGAAAAGAACGCGTTAGAAATCACTAGAAAGTGACGTTAAACTAAAAAAAAAACACGTTAAAAACTGTTCAGTGCATTTTTTAAGGATTCTTCAATGGTGGGGCAAAACTGCCAAAAGGCCCACTTTCTTTGCCCTCTCCCCAGGATAGTATGGGATCTCCGGAGGTGTAAGCCGAGTACCGCAGGCACGAGTTAATTAGGGGGTCTGAGGGCATCCCCCCCCAAGAAATTTTTAAAATTTGGGTCTCTGAAATAGAATTTGATGAATTCTGAGTACACATTTTTAAAAAAATCTCAGCTTCTTAAAACAAAGTTTTCAAATGGTGAAATTTGTAATAAATTGCATGCTAAACATTCAAACACAACATAAGTTTAAGTATGCTCGCCAACAAATTGTTTTTAAACTTCTTTTCAATGTTCAACTCATTTACTCAATACAGGTCCTGGGGCCCTGGCTTTGGGGCAATAGGCTATATTTTTTTTTCAGTGGTGGGGCAGAGGAAGGGGCCCAATGGGGCAAATGCCCCATCAGTCCATGGTATTAAAAAATGCCTTGAAACTGTTTAAATGGCTTTCAATAAATTTGTTGAATTTCAAACAGCTTTGGCTTTTGTAAGACATGGACAAAATCAATTTACAAAATGTCTAATTCTTAATGCCAAACAATTTTAGAAAATATCTACTAAAGCAAGAACAATTTCATGCAAGCACTTCTTTATAAACTCAAGGACTTTCCTTCAAGGCCTTAAATTTTTGTTTCCAAATTCAAGGACTTTCAAGGATTTTCAAGTTTTGTACGAACCCTGCTCATCTTCATGAATCGTGAGCCAATCGCCTTCCGTCTTGATTCATGAGAGCGAGGCTCCCAGGCCTCTCATAACGTAATTATCGAAAAGGTGTATTGCATGCAATTAGCATAAAAATTGGATTTCCATATTATTTTCAACTAAGATCCATACCATTTCCATAGTAAGGGATTTTGAAAAAAATTTCCAGTGGGTAGTGCCAATAATAAAAATGTCGGATTGATAGGGTTGCAAGTACGACGTTTCGAGCGAAAGCCTTTCGTCAGGGTACTTGCATCCCTATCAACCCGAGGTTTTCTAAATTAACTTTCTTCAGAGCTTCACAGAACCACTTAAATTAATACCCATCTCTACCCACCATCTCTACCCACCGTGGTATCCATATCCTGATAGATCTGGCAGAGACTATTATGTCTAGAGGAATTACGTCTAACTATAAGCTTTTAAAATGAAAATGAACAAAAGTATATTATGTTTTACAGATACTATGAACAGCAATGTTATGTTACATCGCGCAACGTGTTCAACAATACTACAAAATAATGCTTCGTCGAAAAGTGAAATGTATCATATCAATCCTCAAGGGATCAGTTCATCATGGTTTCAGGTATATTGTAATATGACGTCAAACAATGGTACGACGGTGATTGGACATGACAGTGAATCAACAACACTTGTGAAGGGATGTGAAAATCCAGGTTCTTACAAACGAAAGATTAAATATGACATTCCCTTGGAACAGATTTTTGCCATTATAAAAGAGTCCAGTATATGTGAGCAGTATATAAAATATGAATGTTATCATAGCAGATTGTTAGAAAAACCTTTTGGTTGGTGGGTATCACGTCAAGGTTCACAGATGAATTACTGGGGTGGAGCGGCAGTCAACAGTGGGAAATGCGCATGTGCAGGAATGACCGACAGCTGTGCAGGTGGGAAGGAATGTAATTGTGACAAGAATGATGGGACATGGCGTGAAGACAGTGGATATCTGACTGACAAGAACACACTGCCTGTTACTGAGCTGAGATTTGGAGATACCGGTCACCCTGATGTTGGCGAGGAAGGATACCACACACTGGGAAAATTGCGATGTTGGGGTTAGGATCGCAGAACGTAACTTTAGGGATAATACATAAACTGAAACTTTATCACTTAGAAAACATACGATAAGTAATATAAAACGCGTCTTTGGTAAAACTGTCAATCAAAAATAGTTTAACACAAAAATAGAACTTTAGGACATAAGTATCACTAACAATATGCGCACTGCTGGTGGGTACCTGCAGACTATTCACTTCGTCGCGCTACATAGTGAAAGTTAGTACTATATCTTAATAATCAATATGGGGCTTCTTGTAGATATCATATCAAACTTTATATAAACTTTTTACATAAACTTTGTTGATCAGTCTATTTTAAGTTGAAGTAGAGTGCTACAAAAATGTTACACTAAAGTCTAAATTTAAAAGAATAAAAGTGGATAATTGGAATATTGTTTCGCGGCGTTCTTTTATTCGGGGTTGCAGAAAATGCCAACCTTTTTTTATGTATACCCCAATAAGGAAATAAACCTTCTTCGTCGCTAAAATTAGACAGCGAAATATGTGCATCTCGTGTGACACAACACATTTACTCTTAATCGAATTCAATATGGCGGATTGCATACAAGAAGAGGAGACATGATTCATAATCAATGAGTATACAAAAGTGGATAATTGGAATATTGTTTCGTGTCGTTCTTTTATTCGGGGTTGCAGAAAATGCCAACCTTTGACCTTTTTATGTACAATAAAGAAATAAACCTTTCTCGTTCCTAAATTAGTAAAACATGTCCATCGCGTCTGACACAACACATATATACTCTTAGTCAAATTCAATAATCAATATATGGCGGATTGCATGAAAGAAGAGGAGACATGATTCATAATCAATGAGTAAGCATTCTATCTATCTATTATTTCAAGCAACATATGATAAGTAATATAGGACGAATCCTTGGTAAAAGCATAACAAAAAATGGTTTAGCGGAGTAGAAAATGTAGGAAACAGTTATCAGTCACATATGTACATTGTGGGTGGAAAGCTGACTACGCCTTCCTGCTATGTATAACGTCAGAAATGCATCTAATCAATATGCATTTGAAGAGCTTCGTATAGATATCATATCAATTGGTCTGATTGTAGCTAGAAAATAACTCGTTTTATAAAAATAATATGTTGAGAAGAGCTGGGGTTTCGAAGGTTGCGGGTTCAAAGCCCTCATTCGACCTGGTTATTCTATAGCACGACTGAGCCGATTACTTAGAATGATCTTTTTCGAAGTGCCAAAATAAATCGGCAATAATCCAACATGTTACGTTATATTGCATGATCTTATAATATATGGCCATATTGGCATATATGATTGTATGTTGTGTGGATAATGTCGCATTATAAATGAAATTTGACATCTCCAGTGTGTTTACCTGTACTGTATGAATAAGTTTCTCCTTTAATTAAGAAGTTGATCTTGGAGGATTAATTATCATTTGAAATTCATCAAACATCAAACTACACAAAAGGAGAATAAGAGATGACTGGGGAAGCGAGAGTTTGCATGAGAGTTTTCTCAACTCTGATGCCTCGGTCAAACAGGAACAAGAGTCAAAAGAGAGTTGATCAGAGATTACCAGTCAAATGAGCTAAAGCTCACATTAACTGTCATCAAAATTTCAACCAGCTCAAAATTGTGAGAGTTAATGAGACTTGGCAGTCATACGAGTTGCAACTCTCATCCTCGTTTGACTATAGCGCTTGATAAACCGAAGATATATTTATCATATCGTAAAAATTGTATAACAATTTTTCGTACTTGGTTTTGAAATACTGTAGAAAACAATATCAGTAAATCAAAAACTACGATACAGCTAGCATTTCATGAAGTAATATTAAAGAAACTACAGTTAAACCAATCAGGGGCGTAGAAAGCAGGGGGCGCCCCCCCCCCAATAAGGGGGGCCGGGATAGCTTTCGGCCTCCCCCCCCCCCGGTATTTGAAACCGTATATATCATATTAATAAGTATTTGCATGCAATTTTGTATTGTTTTTTTAATAACAACATTTTCTTTTGTCTTACTGCGCATGTATATTATAATTGTGAATTGTTTGCATTGCACGCGATTTCTATAGTAAATAGATCTTATTTCTTAATATTCGATCGCATCTTTGCAATTGCTTATACTGTTTTGGTTATACGGAAACAATTTTATATAAGATTCCATTTATATCATCAGCTGAAACCGAGAACTACCCATGGGATCGATCATCTCCCAAACATACGTGTCGCATAACTATTCTTCATATGCACGCGTGTTAATCATGAAAGCGTAGCATATATATATATATATATATATATATATATATATATATAATTTATTATTTATTTAAAAAATTCCTGGTTTCTGATTGGCTAACAGCCAACTGTGAAATTGTCATATCGACTCAATGGCTAACCAAATATGGATTTTTCACATTCATATTAGCAAAATGACGTCAAAGAGTCAATATGAAAAAAAATTGGACGCGTTTGCGCTATATTACCATGACGACGAGAATCATATTGACTCGACGACGACGGCTGCCGAAGGACTAAGGATTGTATTTTTCTTAATACAAATAAAATACAAATGGCTTCCGTTTGTTTTGAATTTTTTAAATAAATAATAAAACAATTATTGAATTCGGTTTTCGCACAATATGAAGAATTATCAAGCCCGAAGTTGGCAAAACTGATAACTCTTCATATCGTGCTCAACCTCATTCAATAATTGTTAAATAACAGATAAAAAAAACTTCTCTAAAAATAAGAGAGCATACAGTAAAACCCCGCGCATAAAAGAACCACTTTTTTAAGTCAGGCTATTTAAGTTGTTCTTATATTTGGGTATTTAGTGAGAAATCGGGCTGAGTTGGTTTTTAAAATTGTTCTTTATATTTCTATTAAAACACTCAATATTGTCATGCATTATGCAAATTGTCTAATAACATGATCATATTTGACCATGTGCAGGAAACTTTATACCTATTATTGTATTAAAATATGGTCTACTTAATAGCCATCCCAACGGAAATACTGTTCTATTCATGCATTAACCCAATGAAAATGTTAACTAACATGAGATTTTATATAAAGGCACATGTAGTCTTATATAAAATCGGCTGTTTGTACAAAGTGGAACTGTATGGACAATGCCAATGAGTCGACAATATGTACGAGGTCTACATTAAGATTAATTATACTGAGAAATATATCGATCAAATACATACGAAGTTCTGAGGAGAACTGCTATAAATGTCTAACGGTTTAAGAACCAAAGTTCGTTAGTTCGGAAAAGAACTGTGCGATGCAAACGTAAAACTACTTAAATTACAAATCTATTACATTGAAAATGTAAGCTCAAAATGCCTAACCTTAATTCCCCTTTTTGCTTCATCATTAACAACACTTTTGCCATGAACATCTCGCTTGAAACGATCGAAATATTGTGCATGCAGCAAACGTTTCATCTGTGTTAAGCTTTGAACCACCACAAGACCACTAATTTGCATGCTGAAGCCGAGTGCGTAGGTGTTCGCTATTGTACAACTGTACAGGGTGTATAAAAAAAACACAACCTCGGAATTTCCCAAGAAATCGACATTGTTTTCAGGCCAAAATATTTTAGGTGCCTGGGAATTTAAAATAGCACAACTGTCAAAATTACTGCACACGCGAGTGCGTAAAGCAAAATTTATGCATTTATTTAATGACACTTAATAGTTTTTATTTTACAAGTACAGTACAACGACAGTAATATGATCTATTAGCAATTCGATTTCAATTCCCAGGGGCCTAAAATCTTTTATGCTTAAGAATTGTAAAGTGGATTTCTTAGGAAATTCCGAGGTTGCGTTTTTTTTATACAGGGTGTATAAAAAAAACACAACCTCGGAATTTCCCAAGAAATCGACATTGTTTTCAGGCCAAAATATTTTAGGTGCCTGGGAATTTAAAATAGCACAACTGTCAAAATTACTGCACACGCGAGTGCGTAAAGCAAAATTTATGCATTTATTTAATGACACTTAATAGTTTTTATTTTACAAGTACAGTACAACGACAGTAATATGATCTATTAGCAATTCGATTTCAATTCCCAGGGGCCTAAAATCTTTTATGCTTAAGAATTGTAAAGTGGATTTCTTAGGAAATTCCGAGGTTGCGTTTTTTTTATACACCCTGTACTGTAGTCACGTTTTAAATAAAACACTTGTAGTCGTGTTTTGTCGACATATTTAACATTCTCGTGAGCAGGAAAATTTTAAATAAACTCTCCTGCATGTACGCGTGTTTTAAATATAGTACGTCGAAAACAATTGTTCCTATAGTTTGGTGTTTTAAATTATTTGTTTCATTAAGCCCGCCGCACATGAGCGCACTTGTCGCGCGTACTTATTATTCATGACAAGTTGGATCGACAAAATTTCCTCGTGTGCGGGCAACATTTACGGCATTTTCGTTATTCGTGACATGTAAACCAAATATTAAACATGTTTGATATTTTTGGTCATTCGTGACATTCTCGTGTGCGGCGAGCAAACGACAAGCGTGCCTGAATAGGAAAATTTGCGTGCAACTTGCAGAATTAAAAACAAGACACGAGCTCGTGATTTTGATCTGCCATGTTGTTTTTAATTCTGCAAGTTGCACGCATGCGCAAATTTTCCTATTTACGTTTAGTATTGCAATTGTTCTATGCGATTTGCACTGAATAGAAATCGGCCTGAACGTTTTCTAAGGAAGGCAACATGTACGCACTGCGTACCTATTTTTTCGAATTGCCAAAGTTAATCTTCAATAATCGATCATATAACGTTGTCGATCAGGGATGATCTTATTGAAATATCAACTTGGCCATGTAGGTTGTGTGGATAATGTCGCAATACATTATTCCACTGTTCACAAAGCTGATTTCATCAAACGTCAAACTACAAAAAAGGCGTGCTAGTTCATTTTCCACTCCATATGGTCTATCCTCTGAGGTCCACAAAATAGTCTTTGTTTGATGTTGAACTGTATCTCACCGTGCACAAATCCTTTGAATTTGCCTATGACTATGCAAAAATTAACATGAACTCAGACAACAACATGACACAATTGCCTTAAGGTCGGTTTCCAGACAATCACATCTTGATAGACGATATTCCAATTTAGTAATGACATTATAGAGTTCCTTCAGCAGTAAGATAAATGATATTAAAACTTTAATAATTCATGAGGAAAATACAAAAAAAATGAATGTTTAATCAATGTTTGTAAATTGGATAAAGATTTGTCCTGATTTACATAGACTTCAGCTTTGATTTTCTCGGCTTTGACGTTTATTTTTAAAATTACTTCGTCAATGAACTCATAAGATGGGTCGTTTTATAAGCACGATAAAACAAAGGCTTAACCCTAAATTTCCTCCGCCAATAACTCATTTCTGGTTGAAATGAGTTATTACAGGTAAAGACATTTTAGTTATTAACCCCCCTCCCCCCCCCCCACAACTAAGAAAACACGTGCACACTACACACTACACA